AGAGGCAGGGGTTCCTTACTCATTTGCCATGGAATCTAAGCTTTTCCTTACACATACACTCAATTTGTAAAATATCCTTATGAATTTAGGAATAAAACAGTCTAACTGCTACAGAGAACTCATCAACTAGAACTTTGAAATAAATTTATAAAAGCATGAATAGACATTTTTATTCTCTTAAGCCTAATCTACTAGGATTTTTTATACATTACATTAGAAAACTGGGAAATAAAATATGAATGGGCAAAGTTTATAGGTGTTCTGTATTCTCCCAAGTAAAAGAATAAAAGTTATGTGTTTTAACTTCTGTTAGTTGTTTTTTTTTTTTTGGGGGGGGGGGGATATGTTGTTTTTAATGAACAAGGAAAAAAAAATTATTTTACTCAGGTCTGGTATAGAAGCTTAGCTCTCTGAGTCATTTTTACTAAAGCTGACGCCACAGAAAAAATTTACCTGAGCTCACCTTAGGTTACTTCCTGTTACCTCTAACTTGGCTAACGCCTCTAGTCACTTTCAAAACAACAACAAAAAAGAAACATACAAAGCATCATTAGTTACTCCACAAGAACAATGACCTAAAGCACATCTTCATAATACATTCTACCTTCATGTGATGAAATAAAGGCAAAATTCCTTCATGCATAAATCATTTCTTGTAAGGAGTAGTAGACAATGGTGCCACATAACTTTTATAAAGTACTTTCTCTATCATGTGATGACAACCAGTTGTTATCCAAACACACCCAATCTTAAAGTCTTTCGCTTTCAGCCTAAGTTGGGTACAGATGTTTCAAAATCCTTCACATTTGACAGTGCCACAGGCGTACTGAACCAGACAGTAAATAATTCTTTACTGAAATCGTAACCTGTTTTGAATATTCCCCACAGATCCTGAAATGACAGTTATTTTCCAATATGAGGTGACAAAAGGAAGAGGTAAAGTTTTCCCAAAGATACTCGTGTTAGAAATGTGGCCTTCTCCTGGTATAAAAAGTATAATCAAAAGTACCTCAAAAGTAGAAGTGCCATTTATATCATTTCAATAATGTCTGTGTATGGTGTGTGCACACTTGTGCTTGTGTGTGTGTGTTCCCATCAATGTAAGCATTTGAAAATTTGGGTTTGGAAGAAGACTGTCACACAAAGACATCTAGCTACAGCATCTGAAATCACCTAAAAGGCAAGTTTGTGGATTAAAGTTATGAGTGGCTACCTCACTACCCACCTTCAAAAAAATACACAGGAAGTCACATTGTGTATTCTTCTGGAATAGATGTACATGCAGTGAATGCTAAAAATTCAGAATAGAATAAAGAATCTTTAAAAGAATAAAAAGCCTCACAAATTTGTGTGCTGTTCTTATGCAGGCCCATGTCAATCTTGCATGTATTGTGATCTGAGTGTAGAATGGCAAAGAGCACAAAGGTGCATTCTGTCAGCCCAAAGCATGTGACCACTTTTCATTTAAATGCCTGAATGCTACAGCCACCATTTTAATAATCCAACAAGAATGGTCAGGATCATATACAGGAACTCTAAAATAACAAAATGAACAAAATAAATATAGTAGAAGTTCAGATTCCTAAGATCATACCAGAAAATACTATGAGAGAGAATAGCACGTAGGTGAGATTAGATACTAAACACCAAACAGAATAATGAGTTAGGAAAAGGCAAACATTTCATAATGTTATTTTAAACCAAACAAAAAGTTAAAAGGTTGAAAAAGTGAAAACAAAAATAAATGGTAGCATGGTAAAGTGGAAAAAAACCAATGAACCAGGAGATGGAGACTTGAGTTCTGAAGCTACTTCTGCAATTAAGTAGCTGAGACTTCTACCAATCATCTAAAATGAAGAGAATGAATGAATAATTCTAAGGTTCTTTAAAACTGTCTAACATAAAATTAACAACCAACCAATTTCTTCCTGCTCTTCTCTAGTAAGTTTTTTTTTTTTTTGGCATCATTCTGTGTATTTGTTGACAAGCGTGCTACTGATTGGGGGAGATCATTACAGTAGAACAGTTTCCATCCAAAGTTTTGCCTTTCATTGTGATGTTCTCACTCAATAGTCAAGGTTCTTATAAAAAAAATTATTTTAAATGACATAATGTTTTGAAAGTAGATTGTCAAATAAAAAATCAAAGTAAGGTAGCTATTTAAAAAGTTATAGCTTAAATTTCAATTGATAAAGCATTTTTTATGTTCTTTAAATTACTAAAAAGTACTCAAAAGAGAGAAAAATACAGTGCAGAGAAATAAATGATTGAAAGCCAATGCTTGCAGTGGGAGTAAGTATGAGGCTCATGTCCCATCTCTGTTAGCAATAAAAATGATTAATCTCTTAATTATACTTCAAATGGAAAAACTAGTCTATATTCTCAAATCTTCAAGAAAGTAGCAAAATAGACATGAAATAGGGTTTGTGTGTGTGTGTTTTAAATAAACCCTTACAGCAAAATTTCTGTAGCATGACTTTAAAAAATAAAAGTCTGTTTAATTTTCCCTGTAAGAATATACAGGAAAATGGCAATACTGATTATCTCTACAGAGGGAAACTGGGTTAGGGTTTGGTGAATAAAAGCTGGGCAAGAAACTCTCCTCTAAATTCCCTTAAATATGTTTTGACTTTAGAACTATATAAATGTTTTATTTATTGGAAAGTATTAACTGAATATAATTCATAAAAACTTTGATAAATAGGATTTCATCAAATGTAAATACTTTAGCCCTGGCAGGTTTGGCTCAGCAGTTGGAGCGTCGCTCTGCAGTCCAGAGAGACCCAGGTTCGGTTCCCGCTGGGGGTACGTATCTCGGTTGCAGTTTGTACCCAGCTCTGGTTGGGTCGTGTGGGTGGCAGCCACTGATGTGTGCCTTTCATGTCAATGTTTCTCTCTCTCTTCCTTTTCCTCTCTCTCTCTCTCACTCTGTCTGAACAAAAAATGAAAAAATGTCCTTGGGTGAGGATTAAAAAAAAAAAAAAGAAAATACTTTACTCTTTAAAAAAAAAACAACAAAAAAAAACAAGACCCAGACTAGGAGAAAATAATTGCAAATCATGTGTGACAAATGACTTAAATCCAGAATATGTAAATAACTCTCAAAACTCAGTAATAATACAAATAATCTATAAAAAAATCGAGAAAAGGGTTTAAATAGACATTTCATTAAATAGATCCATGAATAATACCAAGGCACATGAAAACACACTCAACATCATTAGTCACCAGGAAAATAAAAACTAAAACCACCATGATATACCACTATACATACACTAGGATGGTTATAATGAGACAAAAAGTATAAGTTGGTGAGAATGTGAAGAAACTGGAACCCCCATACATTAACGGCAAAATTGTAAAACGGTGCAGCCACTTTGGAACAGTTCAGCAGTTTCTTAAAAGGTTTAACACAAACTTACCACACTACCCAGCCATTCCACTCCTAGGAATCTATCAACCCAAGAAAACTGAACACATATGCCCACATAATGATCTGTGTGCAGGTGACCATAGTAGCATTATGCATAAAAGTGAAAAGGTAGAAACACTCTGAATGCCCATTAATTGGTGAATGAATAAATTATAGACACACACACACACACACAGTTTCTTCCTTTTTATTGCTGAATAGTAGTCCATGGGAGAGGGGGAAACCACTGAACCATGCTATAAATTGGATGTAACTAAAAACATTGTTATGTGGAAAAAAAAAAAAAAACAGTTGCAATTTTGTATGATTCCATTTATGTGAAATATCCATAAATTACAGACAAGAAGACCGGCAGTGGTCTACAATTGGCAGTGGGAGCACAGATCAGCTGCAAACAAGCACAGCAGAACTACTGAGGTGATAGGAATGTTTTGCAGTGATGACTGAACTCAATAAAGTTACTAAAAATAAAAATCATGCCCTGGCAGGTATGGCTGAGTGGTTAGAGCATTGGCCTGCGGTCCACAGAGACCCAGGTTCAGTTCCCGCTAAGGGCATGTACCTCGGTTGCAGTTTGTCCCTAGCCCTGTTTGGGTCGTGCAGGAGGCAGCCACTCGATGTGTCCCTTTCATGTCAATGTTTCTCTCTCTTCCTCTCTCTCCCTCCCACTCTATCTGAACAAAAAATGGAAAGGTGTCTTCAGATGAGGATAAAAAAAATAAAAATAAAAATCATTAAATTGCCAAGAAACTATTTAATTGAAACTCTTACTGAAAACTAAAACTATACAGCAACAAAAATAGGTTAAGATTCAAAAGGAGTATTATAATCAACTTAAGCCATTATTTAATTATCATAAATAATATTTTAGGAAATGGCACAAAGAAAGAATCAACAACTGTAATTTTTAGTAAACACTTACCCCTAGCATTAGAAATGTGAAGATGTGATAGTTCTTGACTATAAGGTCTAATAGAGTACACTGATGACAAAGGCCAGTAAGACCTAATAATATATTTATAAACTCTTAAACCAATAAAATTTGTTTCATTTCAATAATTTTTTAAAAGCAATCTCTTCTGTTATTGGTTCTGTTAATATTTTAGATGTGCACCATCCCCCCCCACCACCCCCGATTTAGCCTTTGTGTAATTTAGAAGTGCTAGATATACACAGGAATACCAGGAAAGGCAAGCAAATCTGATTAAGAAAAACAAATGTATTTTATGTTTTACTAACTCTTACTCCTTTAGAATAAAGAAACACATTGGAAGGTTAAAAATAAATATCTTCCAAAACTGAACTCACAAATGAGAGAGATTCAGGATACCAAAGATGTGATAAAAAGGATAATTTAAAAACAGTGTATATTATTTTGCCAGTGTCAATAATTTATAAAATAATAAATTAAATATTAAGTGCTTGTTTCAAAAGATTTTCCTTACAAGATAATAGAAATTTCTTCCTGAAGTAACTAATAAAAGTTATTTATAAATGCAGAATGCTTACATTACCTCAGTAACAAAGAGAAATGAAAGAAATGTTTTACGGTTGTTAATGACATTACCTTCAGGAGCAACTGCAGAAGGACAAACTTCTTTGAGGAGATCTCCTAATGTATGCAATTGTCCATCTGTAGCCACAGGACGAAAAAGCTTCTGAATGAAAGGTCGTTCAGTTGTTGTCTATTTGAGAAATGAAGAAAGAATTCAAACAATTAAGTTTTGTTGCTATGAATTACAGATTAATAGATCAGAAATTTAAAGCTGGCATTAGATGCCTTTGGACATAGTGTGATCAGATGCACACATCACAAATGTGGTATTATTGCCCAGAATACTTAACATAAAGTCAAGTAAATCTAGCAATGAGGAAACAATCAGACAAATCCAGAACTGGCCTGGACTCTCTAAGTAAAGTTTCCAAAGACAAAAGAAAACAAACCAAACCGAACCAAAAACATTAAAAGAGATTGAGACGATATAACAAATAAAATGTTAACTATTGGTGAATCTAGGTAAGGGATACACACACACACACACACAAATGGTCTTCGTTTTATTATTTTAACTTCTCTAATGTTTAAAAAATTTTAAATAGCAGATACAGCATTTCTACTGACAACTCTTTTTAGTATTATGTTATAACTTACTGATAATAATTTCAATGTTTTACTCACTTTAAAAATTAAGTCTCGCCCTGGCAGGTTTGGCTCAGTGGTTAGAGCGTTGGCCTGCGGTCCAGAGAGACCCGGGTTTGGTTCCCGCTAGGAGCATGTACCTCTGTTACAGTTTGTCCCCGGCCCTGGTTGGGTCGTGTGGGTGGCAGCCTCTCAATGTGTCCCTTTCACTTCGATGTTTCTCTCTCTCTCTCCCCGCTTCTCTCTCCCTCCCACTCTATTTGAACAAAGAACAAAAAAATGTCCTCAGGTGAGGATTAAAAAAATAAATAAAATAAAAATTAATTCTCATTTTCCTGAACTCCCTCTACAGGAGTATGTCAATGACAACAGAAGTCTCATGTTGACACAGAGTGCAGAAGCGCTGGAATCAGCCAGTCTATGAGCAGAAGTACTGTTTATAAGCTCTATGATCTTGCACCCAGTTTCTTTGGAAATTTGGGACATTTCTGCCCTGGCCGGTTTGGCTCAGCAGTTAAAGCGTTGGCCTGCAGTCTGGAGAGACCCGGGTTCAGTTCCCGATAAAGGAGCGTACCTCGGTTGCGGTTTGTCCCTGGCCCTGGTTAAGTCCTGTGGGTGGCAACCATTCGATGTGTCCCTTTCACGTCGATGTCTCTCTCTCCCTCCCACTCTATCTGAACAAAATATCAAAAAAAAAAAAAAAGTCCTCGGGTGAGGATTTAAAAAAAAGGAAATTTGGGACATTTCTATTTCTTAAGTTTGCTGTGGGAATAATTAAAGAACTGTGCCAAGCACAAAGTAAGTAAGTAAATAACTAAGTAAATAAATAAATAAATGGTAAAGAGAATAAAAATACCCTCTTCCTCTTAACTGTTATTTTATTTTGGGACGGTAGTTTTTATTTTTATTCTTTCTGGAGTGAAAAATTATGAAAACCTACAAGTACAGAGTAATGCCTTATATTATATAAGAAAATGATCTCAATTATCTAGTCATTAAAGATAATTTTTTGTTTTGTTTTATCACAGAGGTATACCTCAATTTCTTTGACATAACTGTTACAGACCTGGTAAAAACAGTCTGGTCTTAAGTGCGGATGTGAACTAAAATGTAAGGCGAAAGAACTATAGTGCAAGCATGTGAGCTACCTTTCCCAGCTTCACACTGTGCATCCAGTGGGTACATAATGTTAAAAATAATATTCCAATAATACAGTTGAGTGTAGCAAGTATAAAAAAAATTTAGAAAACAAAACCCTTGATAATTAACATGCACTCAATATAATACAATTCATTGCAATAACTGAACTCTATTTTTAAAACGTATGCCCTGGACAGTTTTTCTCAGTGGTTAGAGCGTAGGCCTACGGTCCCGAGAGACCACGGTTTGGTTCCCACTAAGGGCACGTACTTCGGTTGCAGTTTGTCCCCGGGCCCTGGTTGGTCGTGCGGGTGGCAGCCACTCGATGTGTCCCTTTCACGTCAATGTTTCTCTCTGTTCCTCTCTCCCCTCCCACTCTACCTGAACAAAAAAAAAAGGAAAAATGTCCTCAGGTGAGGATAAAAATAATAATAATAATAAATAAAAAGTATGACTGATATCCTTCAATTTAGGAAGTTCATACTTTTCACACAACATGAAATTGAAAACAATATCATGCACAAACAAGGATTAACAATGTGAAAATAATAAAGGTTAAGGGAATTCAGAGAAGAAAGAAATGAATAGGGGACTGAAGTAATACTTTAAAATAGCCACCACCCACTTAGGACTTTCTATCATCCAAGCAATGAGAGGCTTTTAAGACTTTAGCAACGGAAGTGACGTGATGAAAGAGGCTTTTTCTGAAGGCTAATGGAGAGCAGCACTGTGTACAGTGACTTCAGAGGTAACCTCAGGATGACAGTGAGAGGCTGTTTCAATAGCGCAAGCTATGCGATGACAAGTAGGACTGGGTCAGTAGAAAAGGAGGAGCAGGACTGTAGCCCCTATTTAAAAAAACAAAAAACAATATGCCAAACAGGAAAAGCCAAGTAGTCTTAGTTATATTATTAAAATGCAGAAATCCTCCTCTACCCCTACTCCTAGAAAAATGACCTGTAATTTCTTTGTAATTCTTTTTCTACTCTCTCCCAAATCTGAGCAGTTATAATAAAGGAATAGCAATCTTTATAATGATGTTATTTACTTGAGGGGAGCAGGGAAGCTCCAGAACTATTAACACATTCTAAGTAAATGCTGTAGAATGGTAACCAAGAAAACTCTCATGAACGTAAAGTGCTGTTTCTCATATAATAAAAACCACATTTTAAAAGATGAAGATGCAGCCCTGGCCAGTGCGGCTCAGCTGACTGAGCTCTGTCAGTTCCATGCACCAAAAGGTCACCAGTTTGATTTTCAGGCAGGGCACATGCTCAGGTTTCTGTTACTGGTCAGGGTGCGTGCGGAAGACAACCAATTGATGTTTCTCTCTCACCCCTCCTCTTTCTCTAAAATTAATAAAAACATACTTAAAGCTGAAGAGTAAATACCCCAATCAAAAATCTAATAAACATTTTTGTTTAATACTCATTGCCTTTAAAAACTTATATTCTTAAACATGTATTACGTTAGAAAGAGCAATTAAGTGTCTGAGTAAGTCACACCAAATATGGAAATTTCGAGAGTTACCCTTAAAGCAAAAGCCTTCTATAGACAGATCATATGTTCAAATACAGAGATTCTGAAAGGCAATGGGAATGCAGGGTAAATTCAGGCAAATTTCTTAATAAATCTCATTGAACCTAAATTGGAGTTGGCATAGAAGACTAAATTATGCTAGGAAGTATTTGAAAGTTGTCTTCTTTTTGAATATAGCAAGAATTTTAAAAATAAAAAAAGAACATGAATTCTTTAAAGTCTGATTTAGTATACATGAAACCAGACAATGCTAACAATATCCATGGTAATGTGAATCTTAGTCTAGCAGACGAGAAAGCCACTATAACAGGAATACAGCCAATACTTACTTAAATCTAGACATGTACTTATAAATATGCAAACTATTTCAGTGACTCCAAGAAACAGTATTACTCTCTCATTAGAAATAATATGACTTGGTAAAGTCATCTTTGAAACTGTCCTTGTTACTTTAAAAAATATGTATGTTAGTCTTTTCTTAAATATACCAAATGGAATATAATATTGAGGTGCTACTAGCTGACTGTTCTCCATCTCTTCCTTAGTCATGCACCCTCACCAATAAAATAATTTCTTGCTATATAGAAAAGTCATATTGTTGATACTGGAAAACCAAATTTGTAAAAAAAAAAATTTAATATTCGCCCAAAGACATGTTTTTATTGATTTGAAAGAGAGTGGAAGAGGGAGACGGGAAGAAACACCCATGTGAGAAATACTGATCAGTCACCTCCCATATGTACCCCAACCAGGGGTCTACCCCACAACCTAGGTACGTGCCCTTACTGGGAATTGAACCAGTAACCTTTTCATGCATGGGACAATGTTCCAACCAAGTGAGCAACCCAGCCAGGGCCACATTTGTAAAAATTTTAAGTCAAATGTGTAACATTCAGTAAACTCTACTTATATATTTTTAAACTGACAGTTTGAGAGTGACACAAATTCTTATATATGATGTGTGTTACAAGTACACATCACTGTAGGTTAATCATGATGTTATCAATTTTATATCTAAGAAATAAATAGAAAAGGCCTGTTTCTAATACAGCCAAATAGATTTGCCATATAGATTAACATTAAAATTGATAAAACAAGAAATACAGACTTATCATAGCACACGGTGTATGCACTTTAAGAGTAACAGGCACAACCACATCACTAAGATCAAATTTGATTCTTATGAGTTACATAAGGTACATACTGCAACAAAAAATGCAAAGCAGTTATCAAAGAGCACAGGCTTTGCCGTCAAACTGGATTCAAGCCCAGGTCTCGTCATACACTATAGGACCATAGGCACAATTACCCAACTTTCCTGAACCTCAGTTTCTTCAACTGTAAAACAGAAATAAGTATATACATATATAGACACATATATGCATAAGTATAAACAGAGATAATGTCCACAATGCAGAGTTTTTGAGATAAAATACATGCATAGCAAAATCATGCTACACATGACCCAAACACATGTCCTAAAACATGGATCACTATCACCATGATCAATAGTTTTAATATTGTAGTGGATATTTTAAAGTAATGCCATCCCAATTTAGCAGACTCATTTTATTTCCTTTTAGTTTTAATCTATTTTCTATAAGTTCAGGTTGTCAGTATGAAATTCAGCTTATAGCCCTGGCCGGTTTGGCTCAGCGGTTGGAGCGTCGGCCTGTGAACCACAGAGTCCCGGGTTCGGTTCCCACTAGGGGCACTTACCAAAAAAAAAGAAAAGAAAAAGAAATTCAGCTTATGTTGCTAATGTATTTTCATATGGCAAGAGAAAAGAAGGTAGTCATTATAGGACTAAATTTAAAACTAGTCTAGAAATCAACAGCTGAAGCAAGATTCATAAAAGAAAATACT